AAAAACAGTTCATAATCCTTAACCGATCGATTTAATACAATAATAGATACTTGAAAAATATAGTATATACTGGATAAAAAAATCAGTATATACAGATAAAAACAGTACATACTGCTAGTAAATTAAAAAACAGTTCATACCTAGTAAATAAAAAGAGGTATATACTACTGTTACTATACTAAACAGTATATACCTACTGACTAAATAAAAAACGGTACATACTTCCTAACCTATCAATATATTATATATTAGATACTTGAAAAAACAGTACATAATCCTTAACTAATTGATTTAATATAATATTGGATACTTGAAAATTTTAGTATATACTGGATTAAAAAATCAGTATATACTGGAAAAACAATCAGTACATGCATACTCCTTATACCAGTATATATACCATTCTTAAGAAAAAGTAGTACATACTTCTACAAGAAAGTATATACTTCTAAAAAAAGAAAAATAATAAAAGTAGTATAAACTTCTACAAGAAAAAGTATATCATTCCCTAGCTAAAGATATTATACATATAGTGGTTACAAAGCAGTATTTATACGTACTACTACTATGTAAACACAACTACTGGAGTACGTAGTATACAATGCTACTGCTATTAAAAAATTAGTACGTATACACTAGTACTAATCCACGTGTTTGGATCAGTTCTGTGCATTTAAAATTTGTAATGCATGCACTCGATCAGTTAGTTGTGCATTAAAACTAAAGAAAAGAAAATGCATTGTTTTAAAACAGATCAGATTCACCATGGCCCTATTAGATGCTATTGGATCATCCATTAACAAAGGGGAGTATATACACTTGGGTGTACAGAAGAGTCGTCCTATATATATATATATATATATATATATATATATATATATATATATATATATATAAAACACAACTCTTCTCTTTCCATCTGTGTTTCCAACTCTTATCTTCACAAACCTCCACCACTTATTATCAATTATGCCAGAAGTACCCCCCCCAAAAAATGCCAGAAGTACACTATTACCACTTATCACCCATACGTTTTGAAACAACCACAACGTTAATCAAATAGGGATATGTTAATGAGACATCTCTGGGGGAACAGGGAATTTAAGATCAACATGGGAGCGTGGAGTAGGTTGGGTCCAAAAGGGGGAACTCCAACATATTCAGCATGGCTTTCAAGGGGGACATGATTAGAAATCCAAATACCCAATAGTTGCAAGTCTGAAATTGATTGATACTTTATTCAATGGTTCTTATTTCTAGTGTTTGCACACGATAGTATGCAACACCTTATTACTAGAGTACATGTAACCAACGTTTGATCAACAACAACCACAAGAAGAGAGTTGGAAGTTGACAGGGGCCATGTTGCACATGTATGGCATCTGCATCGCCATGTTCATCATCATCTGCTGCTGCCCGAGTCCAGCACAAATAACTTGTTGCATGCTCTGCATCATCTGGTAACTGGTGTCACAGTTGCACTGAGGCATCATGCCTTGCAGCTGCATGCAACATTGCTGCTGCAGGGGAGCCATTGGCTGTGATATGAACATGGCTGTGGAGCTACCCATGCCCAACGTTTGCATCATGTACTGCCTATACGGATCCGTGGTGCCCATGGCTAATGTTGCTGGGAAATACTGCATAGTGGTGATTGCAGTAGTGGCACTTGCAGAAAGAGCAATTAAGGCAAACAGGGCAAATATCTTGGTGGTGTATGCTGCCATTGCTGATTCTACAGTACTAGTGTTAAACAAGATCCTAGATGGTGTAGACAATATTGTTGAGGGTGATGGAATGATGGTTGCCTTTGCCTAGGGGCCTATTTATACATGCTAGTAGCTATAGCTGTGTAAGCTTGGAAAAAAATTGGCCTTTGCAAAACCACCTAGTGGAGGCCACATAAGCTAGAAATCATGAAACATGAGAATTATTTGGACATTTATCCAACCAATACTTTGGAATATCTAAACAAAGATAGTTTTGCCAATGCTTTGGTGCATGGAAAGAAAATATGTTGATAAGGCTGTGCCAGATTGCTTTGGCATTTTGCAAAGTTAAGTTAGCAGTTTTGTAAATTATGAGCTAGGTAAAGAATCTTTTAGAACTGAATTTGTATGGGACTTGTAGAATGTGTTACACAAGTCACAACTTACACAGATAACAATTAAGAGTATGAGTCATTGCCATATGTGAATGATTGAGAAGGTAAACTTGGATATTTGTAAATGTACTTTAATAGCATACATACATATGCAGTTTGGCATGTATTTGGAGTTTTGTTAACAAGAATTGGAAGTAACGAACATTGCTATAAAGGGAAAGAAGTAAAGGAGAAACAAATTTTGGGTCCATCCCAAAAAATAAAGCAATGATTAGAGTTTGGCCATACTCTTTGCTATCCTACTTTCCATGTATCTAGTCCTTTATCTTACAAATAAAGAGAAATGAGGAAGTAAACATATTTCATGTATTCATATTATGACGAGACACATTTCTTAGGCAGACACTACTGACACTATGCAAGTATTAAGTTGCATTATTTTCAAATTTAACTATGTCATAATTATCCAGTTCAGAATCTTCATGCTTTTAGTTGCATTATAAATTGGGATGGAGAACTATACAATGTCCATGTTCATAATCTTCATGCTTTTAGTGCTATAGTAATAGAGTTGTTCCAAATATGATGTATAGATCCCGAAATTTCCATCCTGGATTGAAGAAACACTACTAAAAAACGAATTTCCTGTACGAGCCCCTCGTTAGATTCCAGACGGTCCATAAATGACCGCGTCTGGAAAAATCATCCTCCCATTTTTGCGTGCGGACCCTTAAGAGGACCGCACGTGAAAATCGATTTTCGCGTGCGGTCCTCTTATCATCCTCCCATTTTTGCGTGCGGACCCTTAAGAGGACCGCACGCGAAAATCGATTTTCGCATGCGGGCCTCTTAAGGGTCCGCACGCAAAAATAAGCTTATTTTTACAGGCAGACCTCTCAAGAGACCGCATGCAAAAATAGATTTTCGCATGCAGGCATCTTAAGAGCACCGCACGCAAAAATACCCTCCCCCCTCAGGCATTTTTCCCTCTCAACCACTTCAAAAATTTCTATCTTATCCTCTCCAACTACTCATCCTTATCCTCATTTCTTCTATCTCTCTCATCTCTCATGGGCGGCAGCGGAGCGGCCTCGCACTCCCCCGGTGGCGGCCGGGAGCGGTGGCGGGCGGCGGAAGCGCAACCTCGCGTGCAAGCTGCGACCGGGACCGGCAGCAGCGCGGCCTCTCACACGCTCCCTGGTGGCAGCGCCCCTCGCTCGCCCGGATCTAGAGGCGGCGCCCCTCTCCTGCCCGGATCCGGCTGTGGGCGCCGGCGGCGACGCAGCCGGGAGCGGCGGTGGGCTCGGGAGCCGGCCGCGGCGGCCGATCGCGGCGGAAGTGTGGCGACGCTGACAACGACGATGACGGATGACGGCGATGACGATGACGGCGGATGACGACGGCGACGATGACGACAACCACGAGGAGGGCGTCAGCTTGGGTTAGGGTTTGAATATTATTTTTTTGGGGTTTTTTTTCGTGCGGGTGACATAAGCCACCCTGATTTTCGCGTGCGGGTGCATCGCCCGCACGAAAAAAAATCAGATTTTTGCAGACACTTTGGTGCAGACAGGCAGGAGATCCGCATGCGAAAACCCTTTTCGACTGCACGGAAAAATTGTTTTCGTAGTAGTGAAAAATTCAACCCCACTCCGAAGCCATACAACAACTCACAAATTGCAATCGGGTTCAATGTGGTCTGCCAATCCAGATGACTAGATTGTGATAAATCTAGGGTTAAGGCTTCATAGAAGATAGAACTGATTCATATGCTCAAGTGAAGTATTGTTCATTGCTTGAGTAGATAAAAGTTCCAAGGACATGATTTTCAGTGAACTGGATGGAGAAAACTATTGCACATGTAAGATCAATATATTGCTGAAACAGAAAAGATCTATCGGACATGCTGGCAGGTACCAATGTACTATGAATAAACCATCCTAGCGAGTACTTATCTTGTTAACATGTTATATGTATACTAATATATGTATAGTGCCAGCTCATTGAACTCAAATACAACAACTATCGTTTGACATTTATCATGAATACCTTCAATGTGATCTTCCCTCAGCTAGAATGAAGTTTTCTTTCGCTCTCATGAAGTTACTCTACTAATGAGATGTATATGGTTGACAACTTGGCATGCATTTTCCAGTTTCACAACAATATGTTCATTATTTAAGGTCCGCTTGCAACCTTATAAGGGCTCTCGTATAGAAAAAAAGTCATTTTTATAGTAGTGTCATAACCGGGGAGAAATATATACTACTAACACTATACCAAAATATAACAACTTTTAGCCGTGAATCTATAGATAAGTATTTGTACGGATTTGTAGCTAAGACTTATTTAATTTTAGAATGGAGAAAGTACCTCTGTATTTAAATATACAATGTCCTAGGTATTATTTGTCTTTGGCATACAATTTTAACCACTACATGTATTATTAGAACATGGCGATAATATCCAACAAAACTATATATTATAGAAGTATTTATAAAAAAAATTGACCAAAAATGACTTATATGTTTGCAAGCTAAAGATTTTGAGAGCTATTGAAGGTAAAAATTGTAAAATTTTGACCAAATAAAGTTAATAGTGTTATATTTTAAATATGGAGGGGTACTTTCTTTTATATCGTTAATTTTTCACAACGATGATCATGAACTCTTCTATTTTGATCTTTGGACCATAAGGAATAATTACTCCTTCCAATTTGGAGATATTTAACCATTTGCCATATTTAGATGTGACAATTAACTTTTTGCCATTGGACCCACATGTCATAGACACATGTGGATCCACATGTCATTGAGATAGGGGTGGCAAATAGTTATTTGCTAAATCTAAAAGTGGCAAATAGTTAAAAGCCCCTCTAATTTGTCCTCTCCAGGGATTATATCAGATCATGAGAGCCTCTTAACGTCTGTTTTTTTCCCTCAAACACACAGTAAAGTTAAGCTTCATTTCGTTAAGAAAATAAGAGAAAGTAAAGAGGAAAGGTCAAACTCAAAGAAACCTCTAAAAAAACAACCATAACACTTCTACAAACACGCCAGACCAGTAGAACTAGACCACTATGATCAGCACATTACCAACTAGATTAAGCATCTAGGGCGAGCGACTGAAGAAAGAGCTCATGCAGTACATCATGTACAGAAGCTCCAGCCCAATACCATAAGCTACACTCATAAGAGCTCCTCCACTGCAATGATAACACAATCACACCCATCAACAATTTCTTAAAAGGTAAGGCACACACATAAGAAAAAGCATGAACTAGAACATGAAATTACCTTCCAGACTAAGGGAGGAAGAGAAAACCAACCTAGGATACAATGTTAATGTGGCACCTCTGCATTTCTTGATGTGTCCCAGTCCTAGTCCTGTATGTCTATCAGTTCTCTTTCTCATTGCAAGTTAATCCAATTTTTAGGTATCACAAAAAATAAGCTTGGAAGGTGCACACTAGCTATTAAGCCAACATATATATGCACAAAATTTCCATCTCTTCCTTCCCTCAAGTAAGCTGATTTCTTTTTTTTTTCTGAAATCCTAAGCAAGCATCTCCTTTCTTCTTCCTTATAAAGAGTGAGCACTGAATTAATTTGGTTGCATCTATTAGGTCAAGCAGTAGAAAAGATGCAGCACATGGTTTGTAATTGAGTGCAGACTACACTGAGCCAAGATAAGCATTTAGTGTCAGAAAACTCCATATGAGGTCTACAACGATTCCAACATTTTGATCATACTATAAACCATTTACATTTGTTAAATTGTGACAACGAAAAGGGAAAAAAAAGAGAAGAACGTGGCCATGCATGCACGGTAACAAACTGGGAAGCATTATCGGAGAACTGACACACATATGACTTGGTGAGACTATTGGTATTAGTTTTTATTATAAATCAACACCAATGAGTGCGTTAGATGCCGATTCTTAATTTGATCCCGTCAAAAGGGATCATCTGTGTGAGAAACCTTTCATAGGTGTCGGTTTTAAGTAAACTGGCACATATGAGGGCGTTACAGATGTGGTGTTCAGGCTATCACAATGCTTGCACCTATTTCTTGATGTGTCCCACTCCCACTCCTACTTCTCCATATTTATCTCTACTATATTTGTACTGCAAAATAAACCAACATATATGTGCCAGGAATCACGACTGTTCTATTCATCAATTACCCAAAGTGGTAAGTTAGACACTGTCACATTGCAAAGTTCACATGTAAAGGTATGGCTTATAAGGGAGACGAGGTGCTTGCTATGGATTCCAGAGCTTACATGAGGGAAGGTAGAGATGGGACAGAATGGCATATATGAACATGTGTAATCTTAATATCTAGTGTGCACAAGTTAACCTCCAAGTTCATTTTGTGATCGCTCAAAAAAATGGTTTATTTTGCAATGCCAAAGAGAACCGATGGAGATGGTATTAGGATTGGGACGCATCGAGAAATGCCGAGGTGCAAATATTAATATTGTAGTCTAATGTGGTTTCCTCTTCCTTAATTTGACAATCTGGAAGGTTATTTTTCCTATTCTAATTCAATGTGTTTCTTATTTATACCATTTTTGAAGTAGCTGATGGACTTGTGTTTGTATTTTAGTTAACAGGAACGGAATGATCCTGTTGTGAAGTTCTACAATTCCGGAATCCAGGGCGTGAATGAAGTTCTTCGCTTTCACTTCAACGTGAATGAAGAGATCGGTTTATTAAGGATAGGGGAAATGATACGTTTTTTTCCATTAATCCTCAAATTAAATGTGGACTATTTAGTACAATATTTTTCTCAAAATGAAGAAAAATAAAGAGCAAATATTGAAACTTGAGCTGATAAACTGAAAAAAAAACATCAATTAAGTAAAAAGCCATCTTATTCAGCTTGAAAAATATCGCGATTATCTGAAGATCACATAAATGAATAGCCGAATCAATCCGTGAATACTTTTTTAGGTGAAATGCATATCATAATTTATGTTTCATTTAGGGAAAAAAACTGATTAAAGAGTAGTCAAACAGAAAAAACCTCTCAGATTAATTAAGTTATGCAGTCAATGAACCATTTTAAGTAATCAAGTCCCGAGTATTTGTTGCCTTCATCCAACTATTCTGCTCATTGACATGAAAGGGCAATAGCTCAGTAATTAGCAAGCACATGTCCAGCCATCAGCTGTTGCAACCTAAATAATACAGCTGGTGACTAATCAAGTGAAATACATTCCACTAATTCCACCTGAAGAAAATTCTCAACTGGGGGATCTGCCATGTGACTATGGAAAAGGAGGAGGGGAGAGGAAAAGGGAAGATGAGATACAATAGCTGATTTCACATCATCCGGTCTAATTGAGTAACTGATTTTAAGGAGAGGGAAGACTTGAACTCACAACTTTAACCACACAATCTTGCTCACCTTTGACAATCCTTAGTTCCTTACAAGGACTTTGCAATCATCATATGGTAGTGATATAGTACTAAGCATTGCAAGACTTGGAACATGAGGTGTTGCTGTATTTACAAGGGATCAGGGATTCGAACTCGAGACCTATAGATACTTTTGCGAGATTTTAGACAATGCTTGCTGCTTCCAATTGCCTGCACATTGTTTCCTCAAATTTCAGAATTCGATGCGATGTTTTGTTGCCTGACGCGTCCTCAGTCTGTCATGCAATTGAACGACCGCTCCTGCTGCTCTACTGTTAAATAAAACTCGTCCAAGGACCAAACCCATGAATGAATCTGAATACCTGATGCTAATCTTTTTTATATCACTATGGTCTTTTTCTTTTGTCGTCACCATTTAACAGATGTAGTAATATATAGTTTCCACAGTACGATTAAATTAAATGGAGTCGCTGTAGACTTCACTATGAACTTATTCTGATACTAAATGTAGATCTTGGCTCAGTGCACGGTCAACTGAATTCCCAGCTCTTTCTAAGGAGAAAGGAGATGCTAAGGATTTCAGAGGAAAAAAAACCAGCTTACTTGAGAGAAGGTAAAGATAGGAGGGTTCAAAATTTTGGACCGGAATTTCAGAAATTTTTGAAATTTCAGATCTATCAGACCCACCTGATACGAAATTATTTTGGCCAATGTTTTGGGTTTTCTCAAACTTTTGTGAATTTGGCAAAAGTTAGTCGAATTTGGACAAATCTTGTTAAAAAAATTTAAATTATTTTGGATCGAGATTTCTAAATTTCGGCTATATCAGTACCTCCGATAGAACTACTGAATTGAAAAATTGAACCCTGATGGGACAAAATGACACATATGAGTATATGTTAGCTTAATATATATAGCCAGTGGGCACAAACTTCCCAGTTATATTCCGCACGAAGAAAAACTTCCCTGTTCATTTTGTGATCCCTCGAAAATTGGGTTTAGTTCTTCAATTCAAAAGAGAAGAGGTGGACGTAGAACGAATAGGATTGGGATGCATCGAGAAATGCAGAGTTGCAAACATGGACATTGCGGCATGGAAATTTCCTGTTCTAATTATTGCATGTTATTTCTTATGTGCGCTAGAAGCACCATTTCGCGAAGTAGATGACGCATTACTTTGGATGTCTTTGTGCTTATGTTGCAGAAAAGGTGCTGGTCTGGTCTGGTTACAAAGTTCTATTATACCAGAAAAACGTTCAGGACAGGAATGAAGTTCTTCACTTCAGCTTTACCATGCTGTTTTCCAGTATGATCTTTACATCCATTCATCAAGCATACTGTGTTGGACTTTTCATGTATCTTTTCTCAAAATTAAGAAGAATTAACAGTAGACATGAAATCTGAGCTGATGAATAGGCTTTGTAGAAGTAAACATTTTCTCATTCCACCTGAAAAATGTTTTAAGATAGCAAAAATGTGTAACCCAAAGAATCAATTTAATGCATTTTCCTAAGCGATGCACATGATAATTTATGTTTCTCCTTCATCCAATTATTCTGTTTATTAGCAATATGACACGATTAGATTGGCTCATTAGTAAGCACCATGCTGTTGCAACCAAAATACAGTTGGTGACTAATCAAGTGAAACACTACACTTCTTAATCGTGATAACTGAAGGATACTCTCTCCATTTCATATCATGTCGTTTGATTTTTCTTAGTCAAGTTTGACCAAATTTATAGAAAAATATATTAGTATTTTCAACACAATAAAATATATTATCAAAAATATATTCAATATTAGATTTTATGAAACTAGTTTGATATTTTAGATGGTGCTAAATTTTTCCATAAAATTAGTCAAACTTGATTAGAAAAAAGTCAAACGACTTGTAATATGAAACAGAGGAGGTATTCTTTGAGAGATCTCCAAGGACTGAACTCATTGGAGGGTAGGTAGACGGAAGACGAAAATATATACCAATAGTTTTATTATAGTATCTGCGTAAATAAGTTATTCCGTAGCAGCTGATTTTAAGGAGAATGACATGAACCCCTAATATTTAAACATTATAGTCTTGCGCCTCTATGGCTATATGCCTCCCAAAACTTTGAAATCATCATACGGTATAGTGATGGAGCGATCGACGAGCCGACGAGCATTGCAAGGTTAGGAACAGGAGGCGTTTGGGAACGTACCAAAGCATGAAAGTGAGGATCTTGAACTGGTTGTGACAACACAAGAGGTTCTATCCTGCTAGTCCGTAATCATCATATGCTAGTTTTTGCTTTTCGATGTCCCATTTTTCTTCTTTTCCACAGTCCCTGCACATATTTGATCCTTTGCGTGAGTTGTGAATGTGAGAGGCATCCAGTAAAACAACATCTGCCGAAAACACAAGTTCTTTCCTCTTTTTTTTTTTAGGAAATTGGAGCGGTTGAAACACATTTAACCATTGTAATAGCATATTATGAACAGATATCTACTGGCCCGTAGATAAAACCCAATCCAACACTGAAATCAACCAAAATCTTCATGCTAATCACAGTTCCCCTGAACACCGGAAGTGGGGATTTATGCACAATGCTCTGGAGCACATGAACAAAATATTCAGAATTAAGACATGAATGGGAAAAAAAAAGAGATCAAGATCATGATCATGGACAATTGTGCTACATACATCATACATCATGTTTTGTTTATCTTAGATGGCCTACAAAAATATGTAATACGATTCCTAGGATATTGCCCTGATTTCACATACTATGTGGGATCAGCTTAAGCAAACACATGCTGTGATTTCTGTGCAACTCTTTTAGCATGCTCTCTGAAAATATGAATTCTGGTTTTTACTGTTGGTGGAAGAATTCAGTAATCCTATGAATGAATACTATAGTGAGATACACATCATCTAATCGCATCCCGTAAATTGATTTTTTTTTTAAAAAAAAGAAATTTGGAGGCTCAAACCGGCCCACAAAAGTTTGCACACAACAAGAGCCCACACTAGGACAGAGAGAACCACATAAAGTATGGCCGAAGAAAAAGTTTTAAACGTTTCAGAAAAAAGAGGTAAGTTTTTAAGGAAAAGTATGACCAATAGAATTGATGGAATTTCTCAATCTGAGTCCTAGATAGATTCATGTTTACCACCAAAAAGCACATGGTGGCAACATGTTGCTTTTCTCTGGGGATGCAGTTTCATCATTCAAATCATAGGCCATTGTTTTATTTTTCTCGACGTAAGAAAAATTAATAAAAGAAGAAACATAATCTCCAAACAATTGTGAAAGGTACTATATATTCAAACAATATAAATCATCCAATTGCTCTAGACACAGTGATCACAATAGAAGATTAATTATTCTTCCCCTACTACACCACTCTTGACAATCTTCCTACCCTATTGCAGAAACAAGCATCCTCGCATTTTGCACAAACAAATTAAGGGGATGGCTACACACAGATGAAAATGTACTGCTTTTGAGAAATTAATATATTTCGTGGAATAATCAACAATTCCACACAGGATATTAAAACTGGATCAGATGCATGTATGTTAATCTTAGAAGATATCAATACAGAAGCATGTGCATCTCTATGAAAAACATTTTTTTAATAAAAGGTAAATAATAAATATATGATAAATCGACAAAATAAATTTCTGGGCTAGTCATGAATTGGCTTAGCCCATTACTCTCTAATCCACCTATAAAATGGCTTTGCAATCGATAAATAACGTAGCCCTCACGCCGCCGCCATCGCCGGAGTCCGCCGCCGCCGCCGTACACTTCCGCCGGCGGCAAGGGCAACCATGAAGTTTTTGATTCCGCCGCCGCTGGTTCGGCCGCCTCCTCCTGACCTCTCCTACATCAACCGATCGTACCGATCTGTCCGTCGACGAGAAGATCGAGATGATAATCTAAGGTGCGTTAATTCGTTCATTCCTTCGTTTCAACGAGATCGTACTTACGTGCCAATGCAAGCTGAGATCGATCGATCGATCTCAGATTCAGTTGCCCTCCTAATTAAAATTAACTAGTAGTAATAACTAGTGGGGATTTTCTTCTTGCTGTTCTTCAGAAACATAGTGGTGCACCTATACCATTCGAGGAGTCGCAAATCCTTGAATATTACAAGAAATTTTTGGCCCAGTACTCTGACTACGAGGATGAGGATTCAGAGGAGGATTCAGATGAGGAGGATTCAGAGGAGGGGGAGAAAGGCAAGAAGAATGTATGTTAAAAGGGGGGAGATGTGATTTTATCACAACTGTCTGTCTGAGTGACAGTTTAGAAGAAATCAGACGATTGGAGTTTAGCGTCTCCCATTTATCTATCATTTATCAGTTAATCGGCGTATATAAGATGCTATCAAATTCATGAGTAAATTTCAGAAAATCTCAATTATTATGGTCAAAGTTTCAGAAAACCACGTGAA